TTCCTGTAACCTCTAAAAAAGCTGTTCCTGGCTACTGTCACTTAACTATTGATGAAGTTACGACATTTTTCTCCACCATTACACATTTCCTCCCCTTTAGCCGCTTCTTCGTGTATGAGTTAAGAGGTATATAATCGTTAAGCAAGTTTTTATTATAGGTGAGTGTCGAAGATGCTATAAACTGTCTAAAACCATTTTTTTTTTCTTGACTGTTACAGTTTGAAGGGTTTTATGTGCTGCTCTTGTTAGAACAATGAAAGATAACTCAGAATTTGATAATGATTATTCCAGATTATCAAGTGTATAAGAGGTAGAATTACCACAGAGTAAGGAATTTATCAAAGAAATTATAAAGGAGGTTTTCAGTTAGTTATTCAGAATTTTCTTTGTAAACATTTGTTATAATTATATTATTTTAAATCTTTTCACGCACATGATAGGAAGCTTCATGAAGTTATATGAATTTTGTTTAATTTAAGAGGTCATTTTATACTGAAGCTAATTCTTTTCTGCTTTCTAGTGGACAATGGCGCATAGCATCAGATTTAGGAAAAAATTAATGCCGAGGAGCTTTGCAGACTTCTGTGCTGTTGTATTTATGTGCTTTGCAATTCCGGCCATTTACGTATTTGAGGTTTGTTATATGATGTTTGTTTCCAATTTGCCTGAAAATAGTTAATACAATTATACTTGTTTTTGTTTACAGGAAAATGTACAAATTCTCTTGCCAGAATATACATGATGAAGATTTGTTGGCTTTTACTGGGAGTCACAGCACTTGCGGAAACCATGCCAATAGCATATGTGTGGATATCATCTAAACCTTGGATATCATATAAACCTTTTGCAGAAGAAATCTTGTTGCTTATTTAGTTTATGGTGATATAGTTATATAACTATAATAATGACTTATTAATCCATTGACTTTCAGGTTTTCATTGTTGCTCCAACAATATATAATGCGACTCTAAGTGTTCTCCATGGCATTGCTGGAACTTTTATTGTTGCCAACATTATTGGTAATTTCATCGCAATTATGCTTGTGGATACTTCAACACAAGGATTATTACTGCCGTCACAAGTACGTATTTAAATGATGTATTTGTGTCTTTGATTACCTAAGTAACCTATTGCAGAAAGAGTACTGACTTAGAATAATAAAACTATAGCCTGAATATTTTTACTATATTTATGATAATTGGGATATTTTCAGATTTATCTTCAAGAATTGAATTTATTTTGATTATACAAACTACTCTATCATACAACTAAACTGAATAGATTTTTAAAATCAGTTTCAGGAACATCAGACACCAGTATGTGCTAATTCTTTGATGGACAATTTTCCAGGTTCCATCTGGTTGGCACGTGTGTGCAGCATGTGAAAGCACAGCACCAGCTCGGTCACGTCATTGCAATACTTGTAATGTGTGTGTCTTGAAGAAGGAGCACCATTGTGTCTTCACGGGCTGTTGTGTGGGCCTCAAAAACCATAGATACTTTTACATTTTCTTATTCTACATGTGGGGATCAACTTTATATTGTTCATTCCTAAATGCCTTCTTCATTTGGCCGCATGTTGGTAAGCTTATCTCTTCATAATCAAACTTGACTGTATGGAGAAGGTTGTGTGTGTGAGAACATGAGATTTATAATTAGTCTTATAATACAGATTAGCAAGATATAAAGAAATTCAAATTAGGACATGGACAGACAGACACACACTAAGTCACTCAATTACATCTAGGCTCATGCTTTGTTTACCATTTCAGGAGGCTTCAGCATGTGGGCAGTAGTGCGTCTGCTCCTGCCTGGAGTATGGATCTTATGGGAACCTTCTTTGGACACCCTTTATGCCTTCTTGTTCTCGATAAATGTTATTGGCTTCTTATTCATGACTGTTCTGATCTTCTACTATACGGGACTCCTTGTTACCAACACAACAACTTATGAGAATAATAACCGGAAGGGACAGAAATATGATCATGGGACAGAACATAACATAAAGGTGAGGACTAACTTAATTTTACTCTCTACTTAGTTATTCTTGAAAGAGATATAAAAGAAAGTAGTGCCGTTGAAATGTTGAGGCATGGAACTGGAAGCCATTGTCATTGCTTTCCCATTCATCTGCAGGTTACACTTGGGGAACGTTGGTATCTCACATGGATCTTCCCAACCATATCATCCCCACTGACGTATGATGGTCTGGATTGGTCCAACCAGATCTCAAGCAGGAGTGTTAGACCTAAGACTAGGTAAACAACCTTTTATTACTCTCAGTCCCACACTAGACTATTGTCTACTATGGATGTCTTTAAGTACAAAAAAATATTATGTATGATTCACCTATATGGAAAAAATAACTATGATGTAATTGTCTTTCACAAACAAACCCAAAAATGTAGCATAAATTGTGTAAGCACAGAAAAGGCAAAATACTGCAATTTGACCTGGTAAAACATAAGGGTATATTCTTCCACTGCTGTGGAATTTGAAA